TTGGGGTCCGGTCGTGGGGCCTGAACTCTGGGCCTGGGCGCTGTCCCTCAGCTCTTCAGCTCAAGGCTAGCGCTCTACCACTTGAGCCACAGCGCCACTCCGGCTTTTTTTTTTTGCTTACGTGGTGCTGAGGAATCGAACCCAGGGCCTCAGGCATGCAAGGCAAGTGCTCTACCACTGAGCCATCTTCCCAGCCCCTCACAGATGTTTTTCTATCTCCTACAGTTTGGGCTTTCCCATAATATCATATAAGTGAAATTATTATCCAGCCTTTGAGCATCACTTCTTTCACTTAACATACTACATTTGAGGTTCAAATGTATATAGGGTTCTCTCATCCTTTTATTGCTAAATATTTATTCCATGATGTGGACGTACCACAAGTTTATATGTTCACCAGGTGAAGGATACTTGGGTTCATTCTCGTTTGGGACCATTACTATTAAAGCTGTTATGAACCATTCTGTGGGTTTTTATGAGCATATAGTCATTCTCTCCCCACCCCCATTTATGGTAAATATTGATAACGGTAAACATTCTTTTAACTTCTTGAGGAATTGCTAAACTGGTGTTCAAAGTGGTCATACCTGCAGGCATGAGAATTCCATGGTTCCACGCATTAGTCAGGTCTTTACATTTTCAATTGTATTAATTTTGGCCATTCTAACAAATATAGAGTGGTATTTAATCATGGTGTTAATTTCATATTTGCCTAATGATGAATTATGCTAAGTGTTTTTTATGGGCTTATGATCCTTATATTTTCTTTGAGGTGTCTGTTTTACATCTCTGTTTTAATTTTTTTAATTTTGTTCTGATCCTGAGGCTTGAACTCAGGGATTGGGCACTGTCCATGAGTTTTTTTTTCTTTTTTTGCTTAAGGCTAGCATTATACCACTTGAGCCATAACTCCACATTGGCTTTTTGGTGGTTAATTGGAATGGAGTCTCATGGACTTTCTTGCCTGGGCTAGCTTCAAACTGTGATCCTAAGAACTTAGCCTCCTTAGTAGCTAGTATTAAGCAGTAGCTAGTATATAAAGGCGTGAGCCACTGGTGCCCAGCTTGCATATCTATTTTTTTTTACTGGATTGTTTGCATTCCTATTGTTGGGTTGAAACTTGTTCATATTTTCTGCATACAATCCTATAGGAAATATGTGACTTGCAAGTATTTCCTTTTAACCTGTACCTTGTCTGTCCTTCTCTTAATAGTGTCTTTCAAGGAACAAAATTCTCAGTTTTGATGGTCAAATTTCTCATTTTTTAAGACTTGTTTTGGGTGTCTTATACAAGCAGTTATTTTGTATCATACAGCACAAATATGTTTTTTTCCAGTTTTGTAAAAATTTCCTAACTTTAGGTATATTTAGTCTGGTTATCTATTTTGAGTTAATTTTTATATAGCATATATATAGACTGAGGTTTTCTTTTTTATGGATGTATGATTGTCACATACAACAATTTGTCTTTCATCTTTATATAAAATAAGTTGGCCTGTTTGTATTGATTTATTCTGGACTCTGTTTTGTTCATCTAATTTGTAAGTTTATTATTTCTCTAATACCATACTATCTTGCCTGCTGCAGCTTCAAAACCATTCTGCAAGTCAGTTGATATGAACCATCCAAAATTGTTCTTTTTTCTTTGTTTTCTTGAGACAGGTGGGCATAGAACTTGCTACCTACCCCAAGGATGACCTTGAACTTGCAATCCTTATGCCTCAGCTTTCTGAGTGCTGCAATTCAAGGTGAGTACTACTATAACTGGCTCCCAAAGTTGTTTCTATTTATCAAAATTATTTTGTTTATTCTAGTTCTTTGGCTTTTCTATATAAGCGTAGATTCAGCCTGACAATTTCTATGAAAGATATCACTAGGATTTTTATTGAAACTATGGAATCTAAAGGTCAGTTTGGGGAGCGTAGAACCTTAACAATATTTTCTAACCAAGAAAACATGGTACACCTTTTGTTGATTTCTTTCATTCTGTTTTGCAGTGTTTAGCATATAAAACTTGTATATATTTTATTTATATCTAATTATTTAATGCTTCTGAGGTTATTATAAATGATATTTTTTTCATTTAGATAAGTCCTATAGCTATTTTTATGATATATGTTTTGCACATCAGTGGTTGCTTCCAGCTATCCCAAATCTGAAAAGGGATGTTCAAATAAATCTGCATGAAGCATTGTATATGTTTCCTGTTGTTATGGTATCAAGTTACTATAATTTAGTGATTTAAAACAACAAAACCTTATTCTCTTACTGTTACGTAGGTCAAAAGTTTAAAATTGAGGTGTTGGTAATTCTATGTTCCTTCTGAATGCTTCAGAGGAAATCCCTTTCTTGAATTTTCTGGCTTCTAGAGGTTGCCTGCATTCCTTGGCTCATAGACGCTTACTTGAGTAGCTGCAACTTTTTGCTTCTGTGTCATATCTCCCACTGCACTGTTTAGTCAAAGCTCTCTCTTCCACCATCAGATAAAGACACTATGATTAAATTTATGGCCCATCTCCCTGGTTAACCCAGAATAATATCTATCTCAATCTCCTTAACTTTCCTTATTTGCAAAATTCTCTTGCCAAATGAGATAAAACTCATAGATACCAGGGATTAGGAGCTAGATTTTGCTAGGGACTATTATCAGCATACTTCTAGCCTCAAATAGATTTTTAAAAGTCAATGCAGTTTATAAATGCCAATGAAAACCATCTTGTAACAGTCAGTGTGAACAATTGTTTGGTAGCATTGCTTTAACACAACTAGCGGTTAAAAGCAGTAAATGTACCTTGTCTCCTTGTTTCAATGTGCGTAGCTGAAGCCTTCCAATAGCTTTTTTAGCATCTGCCTTTAATTGTCTCTGAAACAAAAAACAGCAGGTATAAGACAAAGTTTTTGAAAAGAAGTAGTTTGGGGTAAAGGGAAGCAATGAATATTTATGAAGATCAATGTATAAATGAATTTCAAAAGATTTAATTAAATATAACTAATACCCAATTTATCTGATATTTGGCAGGATTATTCCTGAAAGTCTTTTTTTACATTTTATTTTATTGTTAAGATGTTGTATGGAGGGGTTACAGTTACATGAGTAAGGCAATGGGTACATTACTTGTTGATCATTGTTACCCCTTCCCTTCCTTGTTGCTGTCCCACTATCCCTTCCCTCCTCCAGATCCCACATTCCTATCTGCCCCACCTTGCAACCTGAAGTTGTAAAGTTCATTTCCAATATACTGTCCTGTGGGTATCTTTGTTTCAATGTTTTTTTTTTTTTACTTATTATGTTTCCCTTTTAACTTTTAACAGGATCTTGGTGACCATAATGGTAAAGCTGTGTCTTTATTCCATATGGACACAGATACTATGAATTTCAAATCAATTTTCCTACTTTTAAGCTCAAATGACTTTAAGGTCCAACTATTCCAATTTCTTTCTTTTTTTGAAATTTCGTTAGGCTGGAAGTACATAAGATTTAGTTGAATGTAGAATTAGAATCAAATTCTGTCACCTCTTCAAGGAATAACTCTAGGCAAGTCACTTAACTTTGTTTTCATATTTCCATATGTGTACATATTGTACTTTGATCAAATTCACCCTATTACTTTTCATTATTCTCTGTCTCTCTTCTACTACTTCAGTTTTAGTGCTATTTCATACATAAAAATTATTTATACTTCAGTTATATTTATTCCTACTACTCTTTTCTTTCCTTCTCTCTCTTACTGATCCTCCCCCAAACAGTGCACAACATTTACATTCATGCCATTTTTTTTTGCTGGTCATGGTGCCTGAACTCTGGGCCTGGGCCCTGTCCCTCAGCTCTTCAGCTCAAGTCTAGTGCTCTACCACTTGAGCCACAGCACCACTTCCAGCTTTTTCTGCTTATGTGGTGCTGAGGAATTGAACCTAGGGCCTCATGCATACAAGGCAAGCACTCTACACTGAGCCACCTTCCCAGTCCATTCATGTCATTTTTTAAGGTCTAGATTTCACATATAAGAGAAAATATGCTAGGTCTATGTGATTCTGGTGTATTTCACCTAACATGATGATCTCCAATTTGATCCATTTTCCTGCAAATGATTTACTTCCATTCTTTATTGCTGAATAACACCCCATTTTATATATGCACCATGTTTTCTCTTTCCAATCATCTGTTCATGGACACCAAGGATGATTTTATAACTTGGCTATTGTAAATAGTGCTGCAACACACATGGATGTGGAGGTTTCTCTATTGTATGCATACCATCTAATTCTGTGAATTTATTTGCTCATCTGCAAAATGAGGATAATATTAACTCTTACAAAATCTGATATTGGAAAAAATTATTGTTTATAAGGCTTAATAAGGAGGCTATGTTCTGAGAGTAGTCATCCTTTTCAATTCATTGAAAATATATCTAAAAGAGTCTGGACATTTGAAGTCAAGACCAAGGGAACAAGGACTAAAACATTATGAATAAATGAATTAGAAATGATCAAGATGTTGGAGGAACGGAATAGGTAAGTAAATGATCAGAGAAGAAAGGAAACATTGTGATGTGAATAGGCAGCAGGGAAAATAATTCCTGGTGATAAATTTGTCGTTATTTTGATATAATGCTGAAAATAATTCCTATGTTTCCTTTCACAAAGTCTACTACATATAACATATCAAGCAAATATATGTGTTAATTGAAGTAAGGATAGGTGTCACATATGGATTGATATTATGTGGCATATTAGGATGGCATGTGCAAGGCTGGTAGTATCAGTGGCTCACACTTGTAATCCTAGCTACTCAGGAAGCAGAGATCTGAGGATCGCAATTCGAAGCCAACCCAGACAGGAAAGTCCTTGAGAGTATTATCTCCAATTAATCACAAAAATCTGGAAGCGGAGCCGTGGTTCAAGTTGTAGAGTACTATCCTTGAGCCCTAATACTCAGGGACAGTGTTCAGGCCATGAATTCAAGCTCTAGGACTGGCACACACACACCAAGGTGGCATGAGTACTATGGCAAGATGATAAAACATCTGATTTTGAATTGGAAAATGATCAAAATGACTAGAAAATCATCCAAAATCAGGGATGACTTGTGAGAGAGGGATTTGTGAGAAAAAAGCAGCTTTCTCATCTCTATGTATATATTCTCCTCCTTACCAAAGTCTCCAGCTGAAATAATACAAGTAAAATATCTTATATTCTGCCTGGCATGTAGCAGATACTTAATAAAATGTTTATGAAATAAAACTACAAGCTAACGATGTATAAATATGCATTAGCAATTACTGGTAGCAATCGATACATATTTGTAGCAAATATATTTGGAAGGGAGCAATTCATTATACAGTAATGTGAAGTATCTCCTCAATGGCTAGAGCTGTCTCCTATATAAGATGCTGCTTTGTGAAAGCTATCTATCTGGCATACAGCCAAGGAAATGACTAGCTAAACTACTTTTTTGCTGTCACAGAAAAAGCAGAAACCTCTCACATTGTTACGTAACCAGCAAACATAGCTTAATAGAATTAGTAAGAAAGCCTAGACCTTAAGAAGGAAAGAGATGCTAATGAAAGCTCCTTTGTTTCTCTTTTGGAACTTAATTATAAGTTGAAAGGGAGATTCTATGACCAGTCTTTTCATTAACCTAAATTTCTTCTCTTCTATTTTGTTATCTACATTATAAGTAAATAATAGTGTTGGAGAGCAGAAGACACTTAGCATTTTTAGATGCTAATTTGACAGTTAGTAAAACTGATGCTCCCCAAAGAAGAAATGTCTCAATCAAAATATCAGAGTTGGCTAGTATCAGCTCCAATGAAGACAATTTACATGAAGGGAGCTTGGAGTAGGAAGCTGCTACTATGATGTTAAAACTTCAAAATTTGAGACTGTGCAATTTAGCAGTCTGACCTTGAACTCATGATCCTCTTGTTTCAGCCTACAAAGTGCTGGGATTACAGAATTACAGGTGTACATGACCACACTTGATTTGAAAAATCTTTTTAATTTGTTGGTACTGGGCTTTGGACTTAGAGCCTTGTCTTTGTCAGGCAAGCACTCTTCAATTTGAGCCATGTCACCAGCTCATGTCACCAAAATCATTTTTGATATCTAATACATTTGATCCTTATGGCAGACCACTGACAGAGGTAATATTCTCACTTAAAGATGAGTACACAGATGTTTGGAAAAGTAAAATAAGTTGTTCAAAAAAGCATACAGCTTGACAATTGTAGGGAATTGTTTTTCTGCCAAAGGCCATTTTGTATTTGTATGTTTTTATACTCATGAGCCATACGAACTTATCAATACAGGTAGATGGGCCTCATGCAGCACAGTAGAAGCATACATCTCTTTCCTGTAATGCACTAACTGATTTCTGGGGTCTTATATAACCTGTGGGCCAGATGTTCTCCAACCTTGAACAACAGAACTGTTACTGGAACTCGATGAGCCCATTATAATATAACCATCTACAATTCAGCTGTCTTTTGATGATTTATTAGTTCCTCAATTCCATGGTCTATAAAACTGTGGCAATCCTTTTAGTGAACAACCCTGGCCTAGATTTCTAAATGTCACTACTTTCTTGTCACATCGGTTACAAGCTACTCAAATGTTGAGAGGCAAAAAATTCAAAAGAAAAAATAAATAAAATTAACAAGACAAAATGGGGAGGTTAAGAGGGTAAGCAGTAGTATACTGGTAATATGCTTTGGTGATCATTTTGCTCTTTATCTTTAAAGCACTTCTTATTTAGGTTTAAGAAAAAAGCTCTAGAACCCAGTAGGGGAAATGCATTCATAAGGAAGTTATGATTCTTTAGGGCACTTACTTGGTTCAGTCTATATAGTTTGGTTTCTCAGTCAGGCACCTATTTCTCATGCCTGTAATACTCGCTACTTAGCAGGCTGAGATCTAAGGATCTTAGTTTGAAGCTAGCCTGGGCAGGAGAATCTATGAGACTCTTCTCTCTAATTAACCATCAAAAAACCAGAAAGGGAGCCAGGTGCCGGTGGTTCACGCCTCTAATCCTAGCTACTCAGGAGGCTGAGATCTGAGGATCACGGTTCAAAGGCAGTCCAGGCAGGAAAGTCTGTGAGACTCATCTCCAATAAACTACCAGAAAACTAGAAGTGACTCTGTGGCTCAAGTGATAGAGTGCTCACCATGAGCTGAAGAGCTCAGGGATAGAGCCCAGGCCCAGAGTTCAAGCCCCATGACCAAAAAACAGTTCAAGCCCCATGACCAAAAAACAAAAACACATACCCCCCCCCCCCCGCCGTAACCTCCCAAAACAAAACAAAAAACTCAGAAGTGGATCTGTGGCTCAGGTGGTAGACTGCTAGCCTTAAGCAAAAAAGTCAAGGGAAAATGCCTAGGTCCAAAGTTCAAGCCTCAGTACAGGCACACAAAAAAAAGATTTCTCTTCCAAAAATGTTTAACTCAACACAGTATGTATGACTAATTTTTTAAAAAGGTAGTGGGAAGGAGAATACAAAGAAGGCATAGATAAATGTCTGAGATGCCAGAACAATTATACAAAAGACTCAGTTGTATGGAGTTAAATTAAGATTTGCAACATTTAAAGATAACATGCCCAAAAGACATAGTGGAAGAAGCACAGCCTCTTCAACTACTGGTGCTGGGAAAACTGGGCAGCCACATGCAGAAAAATAAAAATGGACCCCAGCCTGTCACCATGCACCAACATCAACTCAAAATGGATTAAAGACCTTAACATCAAACCTGAATCTGTGAAACTACTGCAGGACAGAGTAGGAGAGACACGTGAACTTATATGCACAGTCAGGAACTTCCTGAACAGAACCCCAGGGTCACAACAAATTGGAGAGACACAACAAATGG